TATGCTTCTTCGTCCTCTAGTGCGCTCTAAGTTTATCAAATAGTCCTTCCTTAACCCGAAAAACTTAAAGGAAAAGTCAGATATTGCAAAAGCGGAAAGAAGACTGGCCCTGTATTCATAAGGATTTTCGCACTTTGTTTCAAGTGTTTATTTTTAAATTCCTGTTTGCTCGTCCCTTACACTTGCTTTTCAAATGCAACACCAGACGGAGATGTTTTTCCTGATGCGTGCATTTCCTTTAATCACCAAATATCAACTTCACTGAAAAAGGACAATACGGTTTTTTTCAACAGAATTTCCACGCAAAGCTCTAAATCTTAATTCTCTAGACGAAAATTTCATGCAAGAGAAATGTAGAAAATTACCCGTTTGTCAGTGAGGAAGGAGAAAGGCTGAATAAATAATTCAGCGGCGCCGTGTGAATGTATAGATTAAGGTACGGCTTTTTTGAAGAAGAAAACTCCCTTGGCACGCTATAGAGAACAGCGGAATGCCGGAGCGAGGCTGGATAGGGATTAGACCAGTCCTAATTTAGCCAGATGTGAAACAACAATAACGGTCGGCCTTAATTGGCCTCTGTTGTAACCGTGTTTATTGTTCTCATCACTATGTCACTTCGAACGCGACAAAGGTTTTCGGGAATTTGGTAAATGTCATCCATCTTGAGCTCATTGTCCCTCGCTGGTCCCGCTCGTCCTCGCGTCATCTTCCCCCAACCCTTCCATCATCCTCATACCACCCCCCTGTCACTCACGCGCAGCAGACGACAGGCGCCGAGTCGTCTCCTCGTGCGCCGCTATTGGGCGCGCATTGACAAACCGGGAAACAGTGCAATTTTCTTTGTTGTCCTAGCCAACCTGAATAATTCAAACACAGTTGTACATCAGACATAGGAAATTAGTGGAAATTAGTAACAGACAGTAAATATCAGATTCTAGAACATGTTCAGAACACACAAAACTAGCTACATATTATTTTACAAAAGCTGCCGTGCTAGTTTGGACGACTGTCTTAAAATTTCGAAGATAATAGTTATTGAACCCGTCCCCAGTGAAACGTCAGACCAGGCGTGGGTTCCGTCCTAGTTCTGCCGCTCTTGGAACTGTGTTTTGATATGTTTGGGCTTCGTGAAGTAACGTTATCCTCTTTTTTAGGCCTACTTAACGATGATTGGCAATGCTTTATATGTATCCACTAAAACCCTCTCAGTAATTATTGACGGACAATGGGGAAACATCGTCGACATATATAGCATGTAACCGAACTTGTTTTTACATTTTGGTCATCGCAGAATAGTACATATTTTTTAAGGATATATAGAGATTATTGAGGATGTCATCGCTATAAATTCAATTTATGTTTTTGTGTAGAGGACAGGTGTACGAATCGTGTAAATGACTCTCTCATCAATGTACACAGTATAAAACAAGACACATGCAAGGGGCGTGTCCATTTATAAACACAGTGTAAAACAAGACACGTGCAAGGGACATGTCTATTTATATACACAGTATAAAACAAGACACATGCAAGGGGCGTGTCCATTTATAAACACAGTGTAAAACAAGACACGTGCAAGGGACATGTCTATATACACAATATAAAACAAGACACATGCAAGGGGCATGTCCATTTATATACACAGTATAAAACAAGACACATGCAAGGGGCATGTCCATTTATTTACACAGTATAAAACAAGACACATGCAAGGGGCATGTCCATTTATATACAAAATATAAAACAAGACACGTGTAAGCATCAATGCACACAGTATAAATAAAACAAGACACGTGTAAAACACGTGTTCATCAATGTACACAGTATACATCAACCAAGACACGTGTAAGGGGCACGTTCATTTATATACACAGTATAAAACAAGACACGTGTAAGGGACGTGCTCATCAATGTACAAAGTATAAAACAAGACACGCGTAAGGGACGTGCTCATCAATGTACACGGTATAAAACAAGACACGTGCAAGGGGCATGTCCATTTATATACACAGTATAAAACAAGACACGTATAAGCATCAATGTACACAGTATAAATAAAACAAGACACGTGTAAGGGACGAGCTCATCAATGTACACGGTATAAAACAAGATACGTGCAAGACACGTGTTCATAAATGTACAAAGTATAAAACAAGACACGTGTAAGGGACGTGCTCATCAATGTACAAAGTATAAAACAAGACACGTGTAAGGGACGTGCTCTTCAATGTACACGGTATAAAACAAGATACATGAAAGGGACGGGCTCATCAATGTACACAGTATAAAACAAGACACGTGCAAGGGACATGTTCATTTATATACACAGTATAAAACAAGACACGTATGAGCATCAATTTACACAGTATAAATAAAACAAGACACGTGTAAGGGACGAGCTCATCAATGTACACGGTATAAAACAAGATACGTGTAAGGGACGAGCTCATCAATGTATACGGTATAAAACAAGACACGTGTAAGGGACATGCTCATCAATGTACACGGTATAAAACAAGACACGTGTAAGGGACGTGCTCCTCAATGTACACGGTATAAAACAAGACACGTGTAAGGGACGTGCTCCTCAATGTACACGGTATAAAACAAGACACGTGCAAGGCACGTGTTCATCAATGTACAAAGTATAAAACAAGACACGTGTAAGGGACGTGCTCATCAATGTACACGGTATAAAACAAGACACGTGTAAGGGACGTGCTCATCAATTTACACAGTATAAAACAAGACATGTGTAAAGGACGTGCTCATCAATGTACACAGTATAAAACAAGACACGTGCAAGGGGCATGTTCATCAATTTACACAGTATAAAACAAGACACGTATAGGGAACGTGCTCGTCATTACATAAGTGTAAAATGAATACAAGCACGTAGCAATATATGCCTCTTACAAAGTAGAATCACGATATCAATGATAGTGATCAGCTAGACCTTTAAAACAATCTTGTTTACGAAACAGAATGACATTAAAGCAGTGTCAGACATGACGTCATATCCCGTTAATGTATGTATTGACTTCCGGGACCGCTGAAAGTTTCCCTTAGACCTGTTGTCTGGATCGCGTGTTATGTTCATTGACAGAACGATTCTCGAAAAAACGCATTGTTAGTCATATACACATGTAGTTTATAACATTGCTTAGTTTGAAAGATTTACCTGTGTCGTAAGTATATACAGATATGAAATATATATAATAACACCGTTTCAGCACAGCGCAGTTATCACACTATCGTACACTGGAGCCCTTACCGTCCCGCTGAGGCTTGAAGGGGTGTCAAAGACCGGCCCATTGGGCTGGTGCCGTCGTCCGGACGTTTGAGTAAGTGTTATGGCGCAATAGATAGTGTATTAAGTGGGCTCTACATGTGCAGTATCGCTGGGTAGCATCCTTCTATACGATGATATATCGACATACTGCACGCTACTGAAACTTTACATCACAAGTCTAGTATCGCACCAAAGCTTGCCTTCTGTTTCGACTTTTCGCGTATTTTGTGTCGAGATGAAAAGTAGCTGAATAATAAAACGACAGATGTCTTTCCACTCGTTCGTTTTTACGACTGTAATTTCCGTTTGACCTGAGCTCGTTGTCTCACTTTGAGTTGTATGTTTTTTTTCCCCTTTTTGAATTAACCCCAAAACTCAGATTACGCACCGGCAATGGGCAAAATAGTCACTGGGGTCCGCTACAGTGTGCGATCACCACGTGACACGATCGGCTCTAGGTGTCGCCACCGCCGCGCGCCGGATCGTGTGGACACCGGATCTGGTTCCCTGACGACCCATGATTTCCCCTTGGCTGTTTGTTTACCCTCCCTAATTAGATAATGACAGATGAAATGATCACTTGCTTGTGGTCCGCCTGACAAGCTCGTCCTTCGGTCGGACTGACTCACTTTTACTGCACACGTTGCAATAAATGCAACCACAGCTAATGGACTTAAGTTTGTTTACCTTTCTGTCTTCATGTAGCGTTTCAAAATGTAATCCCTATCTCATTCAGATGTTTGTATTTCGTGCGAGCCATTTCAGTTCTGATTTGACAGTTTACTTACCCAAAACTAACCCTTAATCTCGGGACAGAAACTTGAACGTGTACAACGCTATAGGTGCGTCAAGTACGCGGACAGAAAGTATCGGGGACATCATTAGCTGTATCAAATCGTGGGCCACTTGTCAACCCCCACATAAACCCCCTTTACATGGGTTTGACTTGTAAACCTGACATCTAAATCCGAAATGAAAACAGTCTGTGTTTACGTTGATATTTTTGTAGTCATAGTTTTCGCTGGATGTCAATATTTGTTAAATTTTGATTGATAACTTATGGAGAACTACACAAATCAAGTTGAAAGTTTTGATTAACTTTCAGCTTTGCATCTCATCAGTGCACTGCTATGTTATAATTAAATTCGATCCAATAGATCACCCGCTGTCATATAGCGTAGAAAGCGTATTGGGATAGATAGCTATGGCAAACCAACTTCACATTTTTTCCTAGTCAGAAAATCGAACTTAAACCGCTTAGCCAAATTGAATACTTAACATATATGAATGATCTTATTTAATATGATTCTAAGCAAGATCATTCATATCTTATATGATATAATCTACTTGGTCAGTGGTGTTACTATCGGCCCCTTAGTCAGTAGTGTTTCTTTTGGTCAATATTATAATCACTATAGGATATCTGATATACCGCCTATCTAGTTAAGCGCTTTAGTATACATGCACAATCATTTAATATAATCAATGTAAAATGAGTATTTCGCAGGAGTATGTTTTTTTGAGTATTGGTATTATGCTTCTAACGGCCTCTTTTTTAAAGCCACCATTTATCACCTATCCACCATTTATCACCTATCCAACACCATTTATAAAAACTCTTTCTCTGAAAAGTGCTACGGTGGACTTGAGGGGTTGAATGAACCCCGGTCGTTTGCGATAAGTCCAGTCCCGAACAAATCCGTCAATAATGTTAATAGTGTTACAATGCCAATTTGTCAGAAGAGATACTCTAAACTTGTTCGTTAATGTGTGTACTCTAAGTCCCTTGCTCAGTTTAGTGACTCAGAGTAACAATACTAACCGAGTGACTCAGAGTAACAATGCTAACCGAGTGACTCAGAGTAACAATGCTAACAGAGTGACTCAGAGTAACAATGGTAACAGAGTGACTCAGAGTAACAATACTAACCGAGTGACTCAGAGTAACAATACTAACCGAGTGACTCAGAGTAACAATGCTAACCGAGTGACTCAGAGTAACAATGCTAACCGAGTGACTCAGAGTAACAATGCTAACCGAGTGACTCAGAGTAACAATGCTAACCGAGTGACTCAAAGTAACAATGCTAACCGAGTGACTCAGAGTAACAATGCTAACCGAGTGACTCAGAGAAACAATGCTAACCGAGTGACTCAGAGTAACAATGCTAACCGAATGACTCAGAGTAACAATGCTAACCGAGTGACTCAGAGTAACAATGCTAACCGAGTGACTCAGAGTAACAAT